TGTGTGTGTGTGTGTATTCACCTAGTTGTGTTTGCGGGGGTTGAGCTTCGCTCTTTCGGCCCGCCTCTCAACTGTCAATCAACTGTTAGTAACTACTAATTTTTTCCACACACACACACAGGAAGCAGCTCTGTGACAGCTGTCTAACTCCCAGGTACCTATTTACTTCTAAGTAACAGGGGCATTAAGGGTGAAAGAAACTTTGCCCATTTGTTTCTGCCTGGTCCGGGAATCGAACCCGGGCCACAGAATTACGAGTCCTGCGCGCTGTCCACTCAGCTACCAAATCCCCCTTCTGTGTGTGGGTGTGTGTGTGTGTGCGCGCGCGCGCTAATAAAAGACCGTTTGTACGTTAGTCTAATCTGTTTACTGGATGGTCAGTTTCTGTTACTCCGTTAATTGAGTTTGTTTATCCCACTGAAAAAATCTGTTTACCGCTGATTGGACCCGTCTGTCCGTTCACCAATCAATTCTTCCCACTTGATAATTGACCGTTTACACGTTGATCACCAGCTACCGTCTGTTGACCAAACACTAATTAGACCAGACGGGAAAAACAAAATACCTGTAGACCGAATTCAGGTGCCTCGCGCTCTCTGGTTTGGCGGGAAAGTGTAAATGTTTCTGTTTTGGCGGGAAAGTTTAAATGTTTTTGTTTTGGCGGGAAAGTAAATGTTTACGTCCATTTTTCATCCAATTAATAATATTGGGGCCGAGGTTATATTGTGTAATTTAAAACGACCGCTCTCCATCTAAAAGTAGAATGAATTCCGTCTTTTCCTGCTGTTGTTTTTATATAATTAATATCCATAGGTGTATCCGCATATATGCAGCTATCCTAGGCTATATATTAAAAGTTCATATCAGGAGTTAGCTATACAAAAATAATAATCGCCTTGTAGGAAGATGGTTAAGTCATATAGAATGAGGTACCAGGTATCAACCACATGTGAGTAGTCTGATCTGGCAAGGTTTGGTTGCATAATAAGGATATTCTCAAGACCACGAAAGGGGATAAGGACATTGAAATTGAAATTGAAACATTATACAGGCAGATGTGAAGGGGGGGGGGGGTTTAATCATGCTAGAATGTTTGGAGCAAGCATTCGTACCAGCAGCAGGAGGGCTGGCCAATTTGGTGCATCATTTTTGTGACATAACAACTTAAGAGAACAACAGCTCGGTTGATTTTGTCTTTTTTTTTTAATATATTAGGTACATGTGCATTTGTGTAGCTGCCCTAGACTATATGAAGGGGAGTACAGTGTGTCAAAAAGCTAGCTACGTGATGCTAACAAATTCCCCATCCACCAGGCAGTAGGGGGCCTCGTAGCCTGGTGGATAGCGCGCAGGATTGGTAATTCTGTGGCGCGGGTTCGATTCCCGCACGAGGCAGAAACAAATGGGCAAAGTTTCTTTCACCCTGAATGCCCCTGTTACCTAGCAGTAAATAGGTACCTGGGAGTTAGTCAGCTGTCACGGGCTGCTTCCTGGGGTGTGTGTGTGTGTGTGGTGTGGGGAAAAAAAAAAAAAAAAAAAAAGTAGTTAGTAAACAGTTGAGAGGCGGGCCGAAAGAGCAAAGCTCAACCCCCGTAAAAACACAACTAGTAAACACAACTAGTAAACACAGGATGGTTAGTCATACAGAGGCATGTGATCAGTTGTCTGCACCGACAGACTCTGGGTTCGTTATGAGGATATCATCAACACAAGAGTGAATAAGATAGCAGTGGTACTGAAAGTCCCCATCTCGCAGGATGCTTAGTCATACAGAGGCATATGTTCAGTAGCCTGCACTGGCAATTTTGGGTGTAATATGAGGATATCTTCAAGAATACGAGAGTGAAGGAATTACAAAGCTCTAGGTACCTCATGCCAACTGGTCTGAAAGGTCTAATAACTGGGCATTCGGTGATGTAGTGTGGGAGATCATGCCGTAGTTCCTGCTCACAGAGTTTGCACCTGGAGTGCTCAGGATTGGGAGACCCGTCACCTGCAGCCACCTGCCACAGGTAACGGTAACCCAACCTGATCCTGGCAACCACTGTGTCACACAGTCTAGTCGACGTTTTGTGCTGCCCATAAACATAGGTTTCAGATCTGAACAAATCATAGCTTTTTATACTAGTACTTTCAGGTCGTTCAGAGTCAGTAATTTCTTTCCTATCAGATCTGAGTGTTTGGACCAATACAGTTTTGACAGCAGAGATGGGGATACCTAGATCTAATTCAACTTCATTTTTGTTACACGCTAATTTGGCTGCAATGTCTGTCTCATTATGATGGGTTATATTTATGTGTGATGGTATCTATACAAAGGAGATTTGAAACCCTTTACTCTGTGCATCAATTAGGTCATTTATAATTGGTAGTATGAGGTTCTTGCTGTCGATCTTCCAGGAGAAGTTTTCGATTGCTTGAAGAGCAGACTTTGAATCACAAAATATTATTCCTCCAATGTTTTTTAATGTACTGGTAGCTAGTTGTAGTGCCGCTAGTTCTGCTTGTGTGGAGGTCAGCCAGTTGTTTAACCTGACACTGACAGTCTTTGTGCAAATATTAGTTCTATAAAACCTACATGCCGCTGCAGTCCGTCCAGTCGAGGATTGGACTGAGCCGTCGGTGTAGACACAGTGCTCGTGAGATCTTAAACTCTCGATGGAGGAGGCAATTGTTTCAAGTGTGACAGCTTTGAGAAGAGCAAGATTCTCATTACCTTTCTTGGTGACAGGTGTGTATGATACTGTACAGATAAAGAGGAATATCAGAGACAGGTAGATTGCACTTATTAAAAGGAATGATGAGTTTAATGATATTGTAGGCATTGTTGCTCAGCCATTTATCATAATAGGAGTGAGTTTGTATCTATCTCTCTCTCTTGTTGACCAAACCACACACTAGAAAGTGAAGGGACGACGACGTTTCGGTCCATCCTGGACCATTCTCAAGTCGATTGTGCCATTGAGAATGGCTCAAGTCATTCTCTCTCTCTCTCTCTCTCTCTCTCTCTCTCTCTCTCTCTCTCTCTCTCTCTCTCTCTCTCTCTCTCTCTCTCTCTCTCTCTCTCTCTCTCTCTCTCGGGAGCAAACTCTGCGGTGTTTGCACGCCGTTTTCTGTGAAGTTGTCGAAAGAAAATGGTATGGGACCGGAAAAGGGAGACTTATTTGATTAATATCTATTATATTCATGGTTCTGGTTTCTTTCATTGTGTGAGACGGGGAATCTGTTAAACGTATGGAGGTAACACCCCCTCCCCCATCTCTCACCCCCACCCCACCCCACTTTTTCTTAGAGGATAATTTTAAACTCTTCTTAATTTTAAAATTCTTTTTAAACTCTCTTATAATTGTGTTTGAATTACTGTATATGAAATTCTATTTATAATTTGTTTTCATTATTAAAAATTATCAGTCATTTAGCACAATGTGTTGGTTAACTGCATGAAAATTTAGTTTTTTTTTTGTAAACATTGATGATAAGCACAATTTTGCATGTGACCCACAAAATAAGAATAACACTTAAAGCTGTAATTGATGTTGACAGTAGCGGTTAAAATGTATATTGATTCTGTAGATGCAAAATAGATGAGCTGTTTTGGTTTTCTGTTTCCCATTCATTGTAGGGGACAGGAAAGCTGTAACGCTTATTGATGTTCCCCGGTCGGTCGAGCGGCCGAGCCGGTCGGCCTAGCGGACAGCACGCTGGACTTGTGATCCTGTGGTTTCGGGTTCGATCCCGGGCGCCGGCGAGAAACAATGGGCAGAGTTTCTTTCACCCTGTGCCCCTGTTACCTAGCAGTAAAATAGGTACCTGGGTGTTAGTCAGCTGTCACGGGCTGCTTCCTAGGGGTGGAGGCCTGGTCGAGGACCGGGCCGCGGGGACACTAAAGCCCCGAAATCATCTCAAGATAACCTCAAGATAACCCCCCCCCCCCCAGGTCAGCTACTGATACAACCCACAACCATTGCCTAAGTCATGGTTACCTGTATATCCTGGTGAACTGAAGCATAAGGTGTAAGGAAACATGGACACATAAATTGTCAACCACACTACTGTATTGTGGAAATAAACATTTCATTCACTTGGGGCACTAGGATGGTTATCTTGAGGTTATCTTGAGATGATTTCGGGGCTTAGCGTCCCCACAGCCCGGTCCTCGACCAGGCCTCCTTTTTGTTACGCATCCCCAGGAAGCCGCCTGTAGCTGCTGTCTAACTCCCAGGTACCTATTTACTGCTAGGAAATGGGGGGCATCGGGGTGAAAGAAACATTTTGCCCATTTATCTCCGCCTCCACTGGGGATCGAACCTGAAACCTCAGGACTACGAATCCGAAATGCTGTCCACTCAGCTGTCAGGCGTCAGGTGACAGAGTATACTCTGTCAAGGATTCTCGCACTGCGGACCTCGGAGACGGCCACAGTATGAAAGATTTCTGAGGCAACATTCCGCTGCCCAACTGAAATTTTACACTTTCGCTGGTTGCCACTAAGTACTTAGGAATTAGTGATCCATGCCCAAGTCATATAAATTGTCAATCTCACTACTGTGGAAATAAACATTTAATTCACTTGAGTACTAGGAGACTCGAACCGTTGACCTCATGGGTGGTTTTTTCCCCATGAGAATGTGGTTGACAATTTATATGACATAAGCATGGATCACTAATTCCTATTTACAGTTCTTAATAGCAGCCAGCAAATGTATTACATTTCAGTTGGGCAGTGGATTGTTGCCTCCAAAATCTTTCGTATTATAGCTCTCATAGCACAGTGGTAGAGTTTCTGCCTCACGCCCATGAGGTTGGCAGTTGAGTTTACTAGTACCCAAGTGAATGAAACATGGCCAAACAACTCTATCTTCCCTGCCATGGGTATCAAACCTGGGATCTTTCAGTTGTAAACTGATTCTGCTGACCATTGTTATTACTGATTCATTGTTATTGTTATTATCATTGTGTGTCTTCTCGGGCTGATCATTAATTTTGTTATTGTGTTGCAGGGTGTGGTGGAGGAGGGCCGCGGGCGAGTCACCACCTCCTCCAAGGTGTCCAAGATTGCTGGCATGTTCCAGGGTGGCAGTGGTGGTGGCAGCGGGGTTCGGGCCACCTCTGACGACGACTCCTCCACCCCCGCCTCCTCCTCATCCTCAACGACGGGTGGCGATGGGCCCTCTCATGCCACTGTGGTGCGCACGGAGTCACACCTGGCTCGCTTCAACAATGCCCGCGCCCTCTTTGAGAAGATGGGCCAGGGGGAGGCGGCCCAGCCCAAGGTGGTGGTCCCCTCCAAGCTTGCACCCTTGGTTGCTATCACCAAGGTTGAAGTCAAGCCAGAGGTGAAGGTGATCTCTAAATTTGAAGCGAAGATTGATTCTGTGGCAGCAGAGGTCAGGAAGTCAGTCACTACCACAACAGCCACCATAACAACCACCACCACCGTCACCACTGCCTCACGGCAGGGTGTGACGCCGCACCACTTAAGGCGGACAGTTGGGGATAGTTTCAGCAGTGAAGAGCAAGGTCGTGGTCGCAGCCCTCGAGGGGAGTCTGTCTCCCCTTCCAGGTCGGTGGGTGAAGCGTCCACCTCATCCTCCCGTTCCACGTCGCCCAGCCCTGCCCGAACCACCAATGGCCATGCTCACCACACACTTCAGGATGGGGGTGGGGGCTCTGTGGCCATCGGGATGGGAGTGGCAGGCCTAGGGTGCCGGCGACCAGGCTCGGCTTCCAGCCGTTCACTGTCAACTTCCAGCACAGAATCTGACCCACCTCGCAGGTGGCCTCCTTCCAGGTCTGCAGAATCCAAGTTAGTCTCCAGACCAGAGTCTTTCAAAACAGAGCTCCATGCTGCAGAACTAAGGAAGGCCAAACCGGAGAAGCCAGCGAAGCCCGAAAGCTTGGAACGTAGAATGTCGACCCATGAACAGCACCAAGAGCTCATTGCTAGGCACAAGAACTGGTTCCAGAGCTTCTCCAAGAACCGCTCACCAGCATCTTCACCCAGCAAAGCTGAGCCTCGACCCACCTCACCTTCCAAAGCTGAAATGTTGCCATCTTTGCTGACCAAGTCTGAGGAGGAGAGACCCACCTCGCCAGTTAAGATTGATTGGAAGTCAACACACGTGACCAAGCTGGATCTAAGGTAACTGTCAAATATACATTTTTGTTATCAGGATTTTCCCAACATTCCTTCCTCTGTTGGGCGGTTTTTACATTTAGATGATTTTGAGAGTTGTTCTTGCACAGCTGTTCAAGGTTGAATCTTTAAGTAAAGAAAACTGCTGAGTTGCCTGAAAGAGTCCACAAAACTATTCTTACAATAATTCCTGGTTTCTATTAAACTCCTATGTAACCCCTATGTAACATTTACAAATACTGTAATGTCATTCTTAAAAAACACGGACAGTCAAGTGGAGTGAATCTGTGAGCAATGTGGCTGCCATGTAGTCAGGAGAGAAGAGAGCATTTTAACATCCTCTCCACATCATGAGTGGAAAGCCATTTAACAAATAATGACTGATAGGTTTATTACGTACACCAGTTGTCTTCCCATAAGTGAAACTTATAAGGGGTTAAAGAAGCACAAAATGGATTTCAGGAATTGGATGCCTATGTTCATGACATCATTATTGAATTGTCATTATATGACAAAGAGTGCTGGGGAGACGGGACACTACGAGCGTAGCTCTCATCCTGTAACTACACTTACGTAATTACACAAGGTACAGGTTCCTGTACGTGAATTAACTCAAATAACATGCGACCCATGTATAAGATTAGATTATCTAAAAGTTATGTGAAGATTTAATAGAATCCAAAAGTTGCCAGTATAAAATGTAAGAATGAGGTCGGTGCACTCCATCTGTCAGCTTCAACATTTTTTGTTCTCTACACTAAGGGTTTTAATATAACACAGCTGTGCGAGTGAACTGTATGGGACTAGTTGAGAAGGCCAAACCGGATGCTGCATATTCGAACAGTAACACTTGGTTCAGTGAGAAAATCAGTAGAATCCGTGATGAGGATTCGAACCCTTATCATACCCAGAGCATAGGTTCGAATCCTCTTCACGGCTCCTACTGATTTTCTCATTGATACATCATGTTAATGAGATTTCTCTGTGCACTTGGTTTTTGAAAATTCATATACAGTATTTGTTGAAAAAACATGCACACTCAATAGAATATTTTACAATAGAAATAGGTTTACATTAGTAACAAATAACAAACATTATTTTTTACTTCAGGTCTCCACGGAGTATGTCGAGCGGTGAGGAATGCGATGGGGTCGAGGAGAGATTGAGGGATAGAGATGAGAGATCCGGTGAGAGGGAGAGAGAGGAAAGATCAAGAGAGAATGATGAAAGATCCAGGGAGAGAGAGAGTGAAGAAGGCAGCAGCAGTAGTCGGTCAGTGAGCGAACAGGATGCGTGGTCGTCAGTGCTCCAGAACCGATATGGACCGAGAGCGAAGGATGTCTTGAGTCCCAGGTTAGTATACAGTACCTGGTCTTTGCTTAGCTGCTAGGTGTAGTCAGCAGATTGATTGATTGATGAAGATTAAGCCACCCAAAAGGTGGCACGGGCATGAATAGCCCGTAAGTGGTGGCCCTTTTGAGCCATTACCAGTATCATTAGCTGATACTGGAGCTCTGTGGAGGTGCAACTGCACCCTGCGTGACGTGACGGGAGATGTCTCCCGTGAAGTCAGCAGTTACTTGATGACTGTTTATCTTGGTTCTCAAGATTCATTACTCATCTAGGTAGTATCTTATTTGTTCTGTCTCTGTGTGAATACAGTGTGTACGAAAATTATTTTTGGATAATGAATTGGAATGGCTTGACATTTTCTTTTTAAATTTGTTGCAGTAAGCATCGTGTTACAAAACTTCAGTATACTGTATCTTGCATTTTAATTAGATATAGAAGTGATGTCAGCAGTTGGCAACTTTTAAAAAATAGTTTCCCAAACTCAGGCCGATTTGAATATTTAGCTTGCCAATAAGGCATACATTTACCGTGGATACATTTAATATTTTTTAGTTAAGACTTTGTATTTAGAGCACTGTACATTATATGTATATTTAGTAAGTGGTTCTGTGGAAAAAGAATGCCTCCTACTGAAGTTTAATTTTAAAAGTGAGATTAGTGGAAAGAAAATATATGTATACTGTAGTATAATACTAATGTCCACTTTAAGCCTGTCAAGCTTGAGGCTGTCAGATAACTGTTTGGATGCTACCTTCAGGCTTTTAGTTGAAGAATAATCATGGATAATACAGTATTACTGTATTATGAGTGACAAAAAAAAAGTGTTGAATGTAATGAAATGCCATTCTTCTGGGTGAGCCCCAGAGGCTCCCTGGAGCTATCAGGCTAATATGTGATACATTAGACCAGGGCTTTAGTCAATGGAGTTTTGCCTACTGTGGACCACGAGCTAGAACATGGGCTCTCCTCAGAGAGGTGCAGGGAGCAATGGCCCTGGAAACTCTTCCCTCGCCCCCCACCCTTATCTGCCATCGACTGGTGTTAGGCACCTAGAAACAGGCATCCAGGCACCTAACAAAACAGACCCCACAAGATAAGAAAAATGTAACGAAAGCCGAACAGAGAGGTAAAACTCCCTCAATTCCCAAGGAAACAAGCAAACATCACACCACACCGTCACGTCGCTCGTCTGTCCAGCTCCCCTTCCTCCCCAGGGGAGGGTGAGGGGGGAGTCCTGGACCCACTGTGCCGGCTACCCAACCTCAGTTCAGAGGCTAAGCATCACTGTGCCGGCTACCCAACATCAGTTCAGAGGCTAAGCATCACTGTGCCGGCTACCCAACATCAGTTCAGAGGCTAAGAATCAAAAGCAAAACAAAACCACCAACCGGAGGGAGGGAGGGTGCCAGGGAGCCTCCAGGGCTCACCCAGAAAATTGTATTTCGTTACATTTAATGCAGTTTCAGTACATTCTGTGGGGAGCCCCCTAAAACTCCCTGGAGTTACATAACCAAAGATAAGTTAGAGGGACAAACCCGGGATGCGGCCGCCACACGTTCCTCGACTCGAAAGCAAGAGGACTGGCTGCAACCTGCGGCCCTAAGCAACACACGAATGCCCCGGACCAGGAATGTGAACCAAATATTGGGCAGCCAGGACCGGGAAAAAATGCCTGGAAACTTCAAATTGTCACCGAAATGAAGCTCTCAGGTGGAACACCTTCAACAAAGCCACCTGATCACCAAACAAATGATGATTAATTCACCACAAAAAGACCAGACAGGCAGAGTGGAGGAAAAGACCAAACCAGCCGTGTACTGCACCAGTTAGAGCTGCTGAAAGACGTGGAAAGCACACTGGGTGTGGACACTGAGCAAGTAACGCCTGAAACCAAGGCTGGGCTAGCCACCAAGTAGTCACTAGGATGACTTTCCCGTGGGAAGAATCCAACTGAGCCAGAACCCGAAGCAACAGCCAGGCCGGAGGACAGGTACAGGAAACCCCACCTCGACCAGTCCTGCCGAAGAGTGTATATCGTGAAGGCTCTGCAATTGGGAAGGGCGCCACATAAACAGGTGATGCCACCACCATGCCGACGCGAAAAGAGGTCCACCCCCGGAAGCCTGTACATCCGGCAGAGCCAACCGAAGGATTCTGCGTCAACCATCCATTCCATGACGGGAATGAACTGCACGAAGAGCCAAACCCCAAAAACCAGCAGAGGAGCCACTCGAAGCGACCGCCCCCGAAGAGGCAAGGACCGAAGGAACCCCCGTGGTTCTGGCAATGATCCACAGGAGAACAGTCAGAATGGAGCTGGATGGTCGAACCACGAGCAACCCAAACCCTCTGAAGCGACAACCAACCCACTGTGAACAGACCTCTCTGTGCTGTGAGCCCAACAGAAAGACGGACCCCACCGCTCCTGGCCGGCCTGGTGAGCACTGGACACCAAGCCCCACCCAAGAGACGACACGTCAGTGAACACATCGAGTAAGGGCTTGGAGAGGCGTCATGGCACTGAATCCAGAAATCCCCAAAGAGGAAGCTGACAACGCAGCAACTGACGCAAAACCCATGGAGGTCAAACCCAGAGTTTGCGAGAGAGGCGGAAGGGGCGTCCACGAAGGTATCAGAACTTACGCCGAAGTCAAACCCGACTCACCGGGCAAACCAACACGGTGAATGCCAGACTCTTGCATAATCGCCAAGAGACCCGAGACCCCACCCCTTTCAGAACAGCTGAAGAAGGGACCGCAGCCACAGCAACACCTCAGAACGGAGAGAGATATGCACACGGTCCGAGAGTCCCAAACAAGACCTAGCCAGGTCCGAACCCAGGACGGAACCAGATGGGACTTCATCCAGTTCACCAGGATCCCGAACCTGGCAACCTGGGAAAGAACCACACCCCTGGCGAGAAGACAAGTAGACCGGCTTAGAGCCCACACCAACCAGTCGTCGAGGTAGGCCGAAACCTGAACCCGTAGCAGACTCAGAAGGGCCACCACGACCCGGATAAGATGTGTGAACACACGAAGTACCAGATTCAAGCCAAAAGGAAGGCAATAAAAGTGGTAAGCTGGACACCCCACCTGAACCAAAGCAGTCCCTGAACCCTGAAGGATGGGAACGCACCAATATGCGCCCCTGAGGTCCAGGGACCTCCACCCAGGCACCTGGCTCCAACAGAAACCAGATCTGAGACAGACCAGTCATCCGAAAGGAAAGACAAGGAATCTAGGGGTTCAGACGAAACAAGTCCAGAATGAACCACAGAAACGCACGGTCCCATTTCAGCACTAGAACAGGCGGGAAACCCACCTGAGGAATGTGGGTGTGTCAACCACAGCCAAGCGCACCCGCACCAAGATGACCCGACGGAGCGCAGGGGAAGAAGCCTGACACGTCAGCACCGAAACCCCCCGAAGGAGTAGGAGCCGCCCAGTTCTACCACAGGCCGGAGGACACAACTCGAATGCCCACGTATTGTGGGACCAGGTGTGAGCAAACAGAGCGAGCCTACCCACCCAACAACCGACAACGAGGTGACCTGCAAAGGGACCTGTGCCCCTTCCAAGAATTTTATTTTTTTTAAGAAAACAAAAAGAAAAGAAAAGCAAGAAGCTGATTTGTGAGCAAAGCAAGCACTGCGCCGTCCAGATGAAGGAGGCAATGGTACAAAAGGCCCACCTCGACAAACAGAATCCAAAGTCCTGGCACGATCACAAAAACAAGTGCCAAGACCCAAAGGGCAGTCTGCAAGCCAGGAAGACCCTGGAACCACAGAAGAGGAAGTCCAGAGTGCACAGGAGGTAACCAAGGGCCTCCAGAATCCCCCAAAGGGGACCTGAGAGGAAGAAAACTTAAAGAACGAAACCGAAGATTCCAAAGGAACTCGGGGGAGCCCAAACCACCACAATTGCCAGCACGAACGCTCCACAGAAAGGAAGGGCAAAACACATTACCCAGAGTGAACCCCCAGTTAAACAGCCAGAAATGGACCGAAAATTGAGGGACAAAAAGTGTGGGAGCAAGCAGAGCAAATGGGCCAGTACATCAGGCCCAAAACCCAGGGCCCTGACCCAAACACAGACAGAAAACACAAAACCAGGTGAAAAAATGAACACCCAAGCATTCCCAGAGGAACAGCAGAAGGGTGGAATGCCCTAAAAGAAAGAACAAAACAGAGAAACAACAGTGGCAGGGTAAAACTCCCAACGGAGGCAAAAAAATGCCCCAAAAACGCGAGTGCACACTCCCAGGCACATGAAAACAAACAAACCGCAGTGCCGCCCTGGCAGCCAGGCGGTGAAGCGACCTGCAGAAAAGAAAAGCCTTGTTAATGCGATGAGGTATTTCCCAATCTTTTTTGTGATTCATAAAAGGGTCCCGGTAGTACATTCGGGTTCGTTCTCGACGCACAATCGAGAATTCCGGGTTCGAATCCCAGGCTGGATAGAAATGGTTATGCACATTTCCTCTCACCTAATGCTGCTGTTCATCTAGCAGTCAGTAGGTACTCAGGAGTTAGTCAGCTTGTTGTGGGGTTGCATCCTGGGCAGGGTCAGTAATTCGACCTGGGGGGGGGGGGGGGGCCTCGATATAAGTCTACCATGTATGAATACACTCTGGCTTTCTGTCCCCTAACACAATGAATAAAATCACAAGAATTTTTGTCCTGTCTGGGATTTAAACCCGGAATTCCTGATTGTGAGTAAAAAATGAACCCGACTCTACTACCAAGACCCTAAATAGTTCTTATCAGTGTGCCAAGGTTATCTCTAGCAGCCTGGTTGATACAGCCTCACATGTTTATTAGAAAAATTAGTACAGTATTAATATTTTTAATGGAAACATTGTCTTTGATGGAAATATTAGAAATACAATTCTTTGGGGTTTGTTACTCACTTGAGTGTATCCTTCCATCACAGATCTCGTGTGGAGGGGGAGACCAGTGCAGATTGGAGAAAAGAGAGAGCAGCAATTCTTTCTGGTAAATATAACACATTTTTTGTTTTGTTTTAGTTCTGTTTACGAGTCAGTATGTAGACGTTGACCAATATGTAGACTATCGAATTAGTGGGAGTGTACTTGAAACTATTATTTGATTGGTCTTAAACTTAACTAACTCATGCCACAGTTACACCTACAGACGTCTGCCATTATCATAGATTGGTGGTTACTCTTGTGGAGTGTCGTGACTATTCCATGAGCACTCCACTGTACAGTATATTGTAAGTTCACAGCTATTGTATTGCAGTTTATTTAAGTTATGGTTGGCTACTTTCCTGTTGTTATGGGTAAGTTAACTCTCGTATAATCTGTGTATTTTGTCTATTGTCCGGTGGTTATTAAAGTGCATTTTTTTCATTGTGAACAAATTTGCATTATTTCATTAAACACATTGACAGATTTTTTATTTATATCTTATGAAGAATATTTCAGCAAGAGCATTTCAAATGTGCTGAGAAATTCAAGTATTTATTACATGGTATTAGTGAATTGGTAAGACATTTGTAATATAATATAGATTTAATGAAGCATTGTATAAAGAATTTGAAGTGGTGTTTCTTCAAGTGATAGATTTTGTTGGCTCTTTTAAAAGCTTTCGTCGGGCCTGGCTTCAGGCCGGGCTCAGGGAGTAGACGAACTCTCAAAACCCTTATCTTGAGATGATTTCGGGGCTTTTTAGTGTCCCCGCGGCCTGGTCCTCGACCGGGCCTCCACCCCCAGGAAGCAGCCCGTGACAGCTGACTAAGACCTAGGTACCTATTTTACTGCTAGGTAACAGGGGCGTAGGGTGAAAGAAACTCTGCCCACTGTTTCTCACCGGCGCCTGGGATCGAACCCAGGACCACAGGATCACAAGTCCAGCGTGCTGTCCGCTCGGCCGACCGGCTCCCTCTCCAGATATGCTCCAGGTAATAGCTATACATATATGGGAAACTGCTCAAATTTGTATCATTAAAATGCTTTAGCATGTTGGGAACAGTGAAAACATTTGAAAGTTTTGTTTTATATATGGTACTGTAATTTCATCCTTATGTTGCAAAGTTATTAATTGATATTTAAGTTGTTGATTACAAGTTTAGTGATGTAAAGATGTACTGTTCAGTACAACCTATCAAATCTGGATTGCAGTACTCTACTTATATCGTTGTAGACTTAATTTGAATTTATAATTCAATTAATTTTTAAGTCAATGTAGATTTTAAAATTTTACTTTTTGGGGGGAAGGAGCCTCTGGTGGCCCCCTGAAGCTGCCTTATTGAGACAGCTTTCCCCTACTGAGTCACATGAGCCATAGACGTCCTGTCAGGCCTACCAGGGACAAGAGCCAGAATCTGGTCCCCATCCTCTCACAGAGGCACAGGAAGCTGGGGATTGTTAATGATTACCCGCACCGAGAAAGCATCTAGAAAATATACGAGGCAATGCAAACAACTGTAAGGTTCACATACAATGAAACACGGAAGCAGCCAAACGACTCTGCAAACAATATATTCAAACCAGTTGATTCACTGAAAACTAGCTTGAATTCCCCCCAGTACAAATGTGTGATACCAAGTGGATCCCGAGAGCTCCAGGCTTCCGCTCCAGCAATTAATCATTCCTATCACTGCTGTCTATGCAATTAGATCTTCCCAAATCGCCAAACCTCAGTGGGTCTCACATCTTTTCCAAGATAATTGTAGGGTCCCCTGTGGACTCTGTCGTGTGGGGGGCCCATTTGCTTATTTTCTGTTCATAACCCTTAGTATTTGCTTCATGTGTGTGTGTGTGTGTTGACAAGCCTTACTTGATGTGCAAATTTAGTCTATATTTGCCATGAGCTGCATGTGTTAGAGCAGCCCTTCCTTAAGCACTAATTTTAGCAATGCCCTTGAACTGACAGAGTAACTTTTCTGGTGTGTTTGGGAGTATAACCATGCGAGGCCAGGCCACCAGGGTGGAAAGACTCATCTTAAGCAGGGGCAAGAGTCTCTGACTTCCCTGCAGAGCCCTGTGGTTGCAGGCATTTGGGGTAATATTGTTTTAGAATGCTCTAGGGGTCCTGCCCTTGTTCCAATGGGATGCTGCTATCACCTGTTGTAACCATGTTCATTCTGTAAGCTGCATTTGACATCAGCTCTTCCAGCACGCATCATGAGTGTCTTGGTGTTGTGCTTAGTTACACTCCTTTAGACCCTGGTAACTTCTCTGCTAGCCTGTGGCACGGCTTGCAATGAATCGACCCCTCAAGCCTGCATTCGTTACTTGCGAGTTTGTAATATGCTCATTGGCTTCACTACTTGTCAACATTTATTCTTTTTGCCTCCATCACACTGTCTGCTGGGTCGGTGATACCTTTGTCCCCGAGTCCTGCAATATTTGTGCTCGTTGGGTCTCTATTATCTGAGCCAGCCTCAAGACAAAAGGCTTATCTGGCTGCTGCCACTCATTTGCGGGTTCATTTTCTCGCATTTGTGGTTCGTAGCTTGGTGCTCAAATGGATGGCCCAGAGTCGGCCCCTTTGATGTACTGTATAGGGACCTGAAGTTGAATGGGTTGGTGAATGCTATCTCTCTTTAGGTTTGCTGCCCCTCCTTTCCCTGGTGTGGTTCACCCAATGTTTGGTCATCCCCACCCCCAGATTTGGGCTTCAAAGTATCTAAGGGTTTTGGAGTATGGTCAGGGGTTTAGCTTTGGGTGTAGCTTGGCTGCCTCACCCATTTCGATGGTGGAGACATTTGAGCTGTCTCTTCTTCCTGGGAATTCAGAGCCTTTTGCCTCGCAAAAGGATTTGCCTTACTGTGATCCAGCTCTGTGGGATGATGCCTTCATGTCTTAGGCATAAGGAGTGGAACATGGTTCGGTTCCTAGGTCATGGCTAACACCAAGGCTTGGGAAAGAGGCCGAGTAGGGTCCATGAGTGCCCTTCACCCTTTCCTAGACTTTGGTTATGTCTGTAGAGGGCATTTTGCTTCAGGAGGACTTCTATTTCCCCCTCAATGTATGAATTCGACTGCTCAGCTGCCTCCCCCTTGGGTGCACTTCTTTGTGCCATTCAGTTTCTTGAAGACATGTTGTTTCCAATGGTTTTCATTACCTGCCCTTTGCCTGCTTTGACACAGGTGGACATTTTTTGGTTCCTCCTGTAGGATTGAGACCTTACTTCCCTTCTGGACCCAGCCACTTTTAAATTTGGATATGCTTCTGCTGCTTTTTGGCTTTGGTATGAAGTCTGATTCATCATGGCTTGCTAACAACCCTCTCCTTTAGTCGGGGCTTGGCACAGGGTTTTCAGAACTGTCTGTGCTTTCTCGAGCTCTTACTGCGGAGGATCACAAGACTCTTACCCTCTTGGCACCTGTTTGGCATATCTGAGAAACTGTTGAGCTGTTCTTTGACAAGCTCCTTGGTGGCTTGGATGTTCTGGTGTCTGCTTCTAGTGTGACTGCCTTGTAACCTGCAGTTCCAGCTACAGTGGTGCTGCCCAAGTTACCCTCTCTTATCCTTCAGGAGGCAGTGGGGGATTTTTACTTGGCTCACTCTTTACCATGGTTCTTGTCTCTCTTATTTGCCTCCCTGTTTTTGCATCTCTTTTTTTTTTTTTTTCTTGAGAATGTTTAACATTGGTAAATTCCAGGTTCTTCGATATGGTAAAAATTCAAATTCATACTATTCAAATCATTTGATGCTGTCCTACGTTGGGTACTGCTTAGTACTAACTTTCCCTTTCAGAGTAGGAGAAATTTCCAAAATAGAGGGAATACACAAAACATATATGGCATGGTACGAATACCCATGTTAAAGCACCTAAATTATTGGAATTGTCTTAAAGCTCTCAAAATATACTCCCTAGTAAGAAGACAAAAGGGTTACTTCATAATATATACATGGAAGATACTTGTACGTATATTTAAAGAATATTTATACAGTATAAGGAAGATTTCCCCTGGTGCCGCCCTTGTCACCACTTCCGAGACTGTCAGGTTGGTCTCTTCTGCTTTTTATCAGCTTTCTTTATTCCAATGTCTTTGCAGGACGTTTAGTCATCTGAAAGTGGACCTCTTTGCACTGGCAAGGAACCAATGACTTCCCTCCTGTGTTGCTTCATTTCCCGATTGGGACCCAGTTGGGAGGCTCGTACGGTAGATGACTATCAGCTGGACTAGTCAAAATGGAGGTTCCTCTGTCTCTTCCCTCTAGTTCAGTTATTGCTCCGGGAGCCGGTCGGCCGAGCGGACAGCACGCTGGATTTGTGATCCTGTCGTCCTGGGTTCGATCCCAGGCGCCGGTGAGAAACAATGGGCAGAGTTTCTTTCACCCTATGCCCCTGTTACCTAGCAGTAAAATAGGTACCTGGGTGTTAGTCAGCTGTCACGGGCTGCTTCCTAGGGGTGGAGGCCTGGTCGAGGACCGGGCCGCAGGGACACTAAAGCCCCGAAATCATCTCAAGATAACCTCAAGATATTTTCCAGATTGAATACATACTCTGGTGAGGTGATCCTTCTGGTTGGCTAGCTCAGCCTTGATTTCTGGGCCCTCTGTCCCAGTGTCTGAATCCGTGCATTTTTCCGTGGCTCTGCCTCTTTTAGCAGATCGGCACAGTGGTATACTTTGCTGGTTCAACCTTCTCTGCAGATCTACTTGGCTGGAGTTTCTGATGCAAATTTATTATTATTTGTATGGTGCATAAGTGGCTGAATTGTTGGTGTCCAACCTGCATCTTTTGTCGTGGTGAAAATGTGAAAATATCAATTCTTTTAACCATGTCGTAGCTCAGTCGATAAAGGCAGCATCTGGGATGCTCTCGGACATAGGTTCGAATTCTCGTCACGGCCCTTGTGGATTTGTTCGAGCAGTACATATTTGTTAAAAAAATTTTTTTTATACATTTTGTTTAGAAACTGAATAAAGGATTTTTGGATGTACAGTATCTTTCTCCAGAAATATTCTAAATTTGTTGCCATTTATGTAACTTTTCTATTTAATATAATATTCTATTCT